TAATAAAAAAATAATCGTTTTATTTCGATTACGTTGTTTTCGTAATCGTTGCAAGCCATAATCGTAATCGCGATTTAAAATACGATTAATTGAGCAGCCCTAGTATAAAATAATTTACAGACATGTACCGCTGCCCTTACAGTTTGGGAAAAGGTTTTATTAGCTGTTAAGCCATTATAAGACTTATTGATGTACTTTGACTCAATTAATCGTATTTTAATCACGATTACGATTTTGGCTTGCAACGATTATGAAAACAACATAATCGAAATAAAACGATTATTTTATTTTAATTTAATTAAAACGTTTTTTTATTGGTTTTTCAGTTGAATTATACTTAAAGTTCAGGGTAATCAACTGTGAAAAACATACTGTTCAAATTTTTTTTTCAATAAATGGATGTTTTCAAAGTAAATGGACAATCGTTTTTAATAATCGTGATATCAATTATTGACCCAAATACCGGTAATCGAGATTATGATTTTTGCCCTAATCGAGCAGCCCTAACTTTAACATATCAAATAAAGAAGTATAGACATAAACGTAGATTTGTTTTATACTGGCATAACTTGTGTATTTTATATGTACGATTCAAATTTTATGACTCTAGTTTTGAAGTCGCTTTCACTGTATAATTTATAACAGGAAATTAAGGAAATAAAGATGTCGCTGAAAACAAAAACACATTTGATATTAAATATATAAAATTGAACAAGTATAAACATATAAATAATTTACTTATAGAAATAGAAATATTTATTTATTTATCTTATAATATACATTTCAGTCATCATATTAGACTGTCCGTGTTTTGTATTTTTGGAGTAAGGAAGACAGGAAGTTTAATATCAAAGTTTAATCAAGATCATTTAAGATGTAATGATGATGATTACAATGATATTGAAACAATGCAACAACACATTCAACAACAACCTCTCAGAATCAGCAATATGTTACTTTTAAAAGAAAGAAAATAACATACATACGATAATACTTTAATGGTGAGATCAAGTCTGAAGTTGCTCTAAGAGCCTTTAGTGTGCATTTGATCATGCATTTATTTAACAGATAGTGAAACTCTTTTCAGTGGTGCGCTGCTAAATGAATTCTCAGCATGATCAAACTTGGAACAACTTTTTCCAAAAGATGCTGTGAATGCTGACGCGATGAATTTGGAAAATAATAATACTCTCCCCTGTGTTTATATCATAAAATAAGCAATGTTTTTATTTGATATTTTGCAGCTACATAACTGACATTGTTCTTTTACAGAGAAAAGGACTTGACCGCAAAATGCATTATCAAGATGGAAGGGAACAAAACCTCCATCACCAACCTGAAGGTACTTTTTAATGTATTTATTTAATTGAATTGCCTCTGTGTCTTAACATGTGCTATACGAATAAACTAACCTTGAACCTTAACCAACACAAGAATGCGCTTTTAAAACAGGAAGTTATTTAGGCTGAAAATGATCCTAACACATTTTAGCTGAAGCTGTGCTTTTTTTAACATTTCTTGTTCTCCAAAGATCCCCGATGGTAACGCAGGTGAAGTGTTGAGGGATCGAATTAAAACCTTCACATACGACTTCTCCTACGACTCCATGGACTCCAAGAGCTCCCCATTCGTCTCCCAGGAAAAGGTAAATACTAATACCCACAGCTTTTTATTTTATATTTTTTATATATATGTGCTGTGTTTATAAACCTGTCAATGTACGGCATGAAATCGAAACATAGATGGTACTACTGACATAAAACACTTATCCCATTACTAAATATCCTATCTTACAGTATGTGGTAATAAAGCTGGAAGTAAAAGTGATGAACGGCCTATAATAACATGTATAATATCTAATACCAGAGGTGGGAAGTAGTGGAGTACAAATACTTCGTTACTGTACTTAAGTACATGTTTCTGGTATCAGTGCTTTACTCCACTACTTATTTTTCTGATGACTTTTTACTTTGACTTCTTACATTTCTAACACAAATACCTGTACTTTCTACTTCTTAAATTTCCCAAACAGGCTGGTTCCTTTAGTTTGAATGTGTGTTTGGTGGCGTGATCATTATTATTTAGAGTCATTGCGTGCCTATTGATTTGAACACGATCCGTGTATCCATCATTTCCTGCTCTTCTCTAAAGAAGAGGGACCAATGAAAACGTTGTCATGTTGCCGTTGTTCAGCATGGAAACATTCATTAGCTAACAATGACATTATTGTTCTATTAATATAAAGGGAGGTCAGGTACTCTTTA